CCCAAATTTGGCTCTCTGCGATTTCTGACTTTTCTCGAAACTAAAATCACCTTTGAAAGGGAAGAGATTTCAGACCATCAATGAGATTTAGGAAAATATGACAGGGCAGGTGATGGTGACTGAGGGAGCTATATGAGATCTCAAAGTACCTACTTTAAAAGGGACTGAGGCATCACTGTCCTATGTAAAATGTTTCTTAGCTCTTCTTCAGTAAATGAACTCATTTTTCATAGTGCATGGCTGGATACTTTCTGGACATACCTCATATTTATGCACATTATATTCATATATGTATAGGTATATATGTGTGTATCAAAATAAATGTCATTTCAAACAAAGAAAAATTAAAATGATCAACAATTTTTTTAGTAATGAAAATATAAAGCAAAAACCTCTATTTGAAAGAAAATTATTTCAGATGAAAGAGTGGAAATGAAGAACAAAAAAGAGCAAAGAAAAGAAAAAATATGTGCATAAATACAAATGTATGTTGATTGTGTGTGTATACATATATACATATACATATATAACAAATACACCATGTAGAGAAGTAGTATACACAACAATATGAAAAGCAGAAGGCAGTAAATGGAGTTATTTATGTTTGCATTTTAATAGTTATAATACCATTAATTTATATATTAATTAAGTCAAGGTTGTGTGTTAACATAGCAACTAAGATTGCAGTAAAAACAGTATGTAACAAACTGCAGAGGGAAAATAAATAACAAAAAATACATAATTTCAAAAGAAACATAAAAGAAAAAAAAGGGCAGGGTGAGAAAAGATAAAAAGAACACCTGAGACAAATAGAAAACAAACAATGGAATGGTAATTTGGTTCCTTTCTGAAAATTTCTCCCCGGACATTCTAAGGTATTTAGTGAATGTACTGAGAGCCATGAAGTTGCAAACTAAAAAGCATATGGTTACATTATCCTCTGATTAAATTTAAGCAGAAATATAATACATTTAGGTAAATTCCAGAGATCCTTTAACACCAAATACTTTACTTTTCATTGCAATTTTTTCTGACAGCAAATGTAACTTAAAGGATCAGGATATAATATGAAATAAGTATAAATTTAATCTCATAATCTACAATTTTTCTTTTATAAATCTAATATACTTGGAGTACTGTTTGTGTTAGAATTGAGAACCTTGGGAATTTATCATTGCAATGGGGTATTAATATATGAAGAAACTGAGCTGCCACTTCAGCAGCCTTGGAAATCAAAAAGAGATTACTCTACCAGAAACTTAAGTATAATCAAAACAAAAACTTTAAAATATACTAAGTAAGCCAGGCTCATTATACCCATTTTATATGGGACAAAAATAAAAAATGAAACAGGCCCTTAGAGATATCTTAAACCACAGTATGATTCATTTTAACCTCTGGGTCTATCAAGGAAATCTTCTGCAAAACCAATTTCATTAGCAGAAACCCAGAGACCCAAAAGAATTTAATTAGTGGAGCTGTGGTAGTGTAAGCTTTTTATGCCCACTGACACATTTTTTTTAATTTGGTTATAAACTGTTAAATATACCAATAATTATGATGGATGCATTATTATCTCTAATGTGTAAACTGAAAATTTAAGATCTAGCGAATAGATCTTAATATAAGAGAATAAATTTGTCACAGAAAAGGGTCTAGGTTTCCCTTCTTCTACTGTCTAGTACATGATTCTTTCAAAATAAAGTCTATCCTTACTGCAACCAAATCATTTCAAATCACAGGAGTTCCATTCAGGATTCTCTCTGCAGATTTACCCTTAACCAATTGATTAAGCACTGTTTTGTCATTTCACAGCCTTCAGAGCCCATTTTCAACTCTTCTCATCAAACCACGACTAGGTTCTATCAGGTGAAAAAGTAAGACACAAACAGGAATAATATTTATCATCCATTACTAAAACCACATTTACTGACATCATGTATTCAGCCCATCACTTTGGCATACATTAAACAAATATTTATCACTGTACTATAAAACACTAATCATTGTCTTGAACCCTGAAGAGTGCTAAGAATAATTCATGGTCCCCATAAACATGTGATGCTTATGGCCTAGAAGGGTAAACATTCATTCATTTGTTAATTTAACAATTATTTATTGACTATCAAAAACCAACTAGACAATCTGTTAGATGCTGAGTACCCTGTGGTGAATTCTGTCCTTACTTACATGATGCTTAGAGTCTGGTAGTAAATTAAACATCAAATAATCACAAAAATAAATATATAATCTATATTATACATAAAGATTAGTGCACTGTGCACTATATGATAACAAGGCTACTTGCCTTGAGAATCAGAAGGATTTCACGAGAAGGAACATTTGAGTTGAGATCTGAAGGATGAAGATAAGTTAATTAGCTGGAAAGAATGTTGCTAGCAGAGGGGAAAACAAGTGAGAACCGTGTTACCAAAGGAATCATTATTAGGGAACTCAAAGAAGGCCACTGTGGCAAGAACACCAGAGTGTTGCTTAAGATGATATTGCAGAGAGATGCAATGAAAAGACCCCTGGAAGCTTCAGAGAACACATTAAAAGTGTTGGTGTTCATTCCTAAAAGCTATGGCAATTCATGGAAGGTTGTGAAAAAAAAGGGAATGGCATGATTCTGTTTGAAATAGAAAACATACCCTAACTAGCTATATAGATGTGGGTTGGAGAAGGATTGCAATAGTCTAGAAGTCCATGGGAAAAAATGCTATTTTAAACCTGATTGTAGTACTAACGTTGGAAAAACAGGTGGATTTGAGAGAAATTCAAGAGGTAAAACAGCAGGACTTAGTGACACTTGGGATGTGGGGAAATGAAAATAAGGAGCTCCTGGTTCATGGCTTGTAGGACTGCATGGATGGTGATGGCGTTCCCTGCGACAGAAAATATTAGGGAAGGCCTGTCATTCTAAGGGGGGAACACGAGTTCAATTTCGGAAATATTTAGCTGGAATCGCTTTTGAGATTAGCAAGTGACAATGTCAAGTGAGTAGCTAAACATCTGGGCTGGAATTTAAGAGAGGGATGGGAATATAAATCTGGAAGACACTGACATACAAACAGTAATGGAAACTCTGAGTGTGGACAAAAAGGCATAAAGAACCTGAACATTCAGACACATATAGGCCGCTGAGCCAGTCTGGTTCTAGACTGAGGAACCAGAAAGGCAGGGCTTAAGGCACTAAAGGCATTGTTAAGCAGATGCCAAGGAAGGTGATAAATTACGGAGTCAAGCATCAGGTGTCAATGCTGCTGTGAGTTCAAATCCGACAAGATGTAAAAAATTACAATTCAATAAGACTGGGACTAAAAGAGAATTACATACAAAATGCCATAAATGGTGCGTTAACTCTGGAAGTGGAAAAAAAGTTGGCCAGAGGAAGTGATATTTAAGCTGTACTTGAAGATTGAATAGGAGTTTCCTAAGCAAAGCAGTTGAGGGATAAAAGGGCAGTTTTAGAGAAGATATTGCTATTTCTCAAAAAGGAACAAAAGTCTTCATTAGGCTAGTGAATATCAAAATCCTATTCCTCACATTCCTTAATCAGTCAGTCATCGTAGTCATTTTCAATGATCTTAGTTTCCACTAACAGGGCAAAGTAGACAACCTCACGCAGCAGCCTAGCTTCAATTGTTGTCCCCAAACCCCACAAAATCAGACCATGGCAGGGGACAAAGAAATACATTGTTAACCCAGCAACAAAGGTCATATAAAGTCTCAGAATTAGGGAACAAAAGTTGAGAATTTCTAATTGATTATATAACAGAATAAATATTAACGTTAAGAGAAAAGTTATAAAAATTCAAATTAGAATGCAGGAAAAATAAATACAAAGACTTGTGAACAGATGAGAAGATAAAGAATAACCCTCTCTTGCATTGTCAGCAAGAGGCTTTGAGTCAAGTTATCACCGCCGTCTTTTAAGAAAATGAGGAACAAAGTATCATCTAAAGAATCCACAAATGACAAATGCTAAATTCCTGTTTGTAGGTTACAATTTCACATGCTGATCTGAGAATACTCAAAATGGAAAACTGATAACTAACATTAGAATAGTTGATTTAAAGAAACAGTTAAGTTGTGCTTACCTATTAAATGTTATAATACACGTTATTCCTTTGTTCACAAGAAAAATCAGGAATCAACTTTTTCTGCATCCAGCAAAATTCAAAAGTATGACAGCTAAACCCTCAGTGTCCCTCTCTTTTGCCATGTTTTAACATTCACATATCAATAATCACCGTTATCAATTTGTGAAATTTTAAGGGAAAAGTAAATCTATATATATCTATATATCTTTATATAGATATATAAATATATATTTTATATATACTATACATTATTTATATATATATTTTTTGCCTGCCATTTCTGCATTGAATGCATTGAATCACATGTATGTGGATACTATTAGGTTGCCTTTGTGTAAAAATGGACTTTCAGGAATCACGTGGGATTAATTTTGGTCTGAAATTGCTGTTTTCTACCATTTTTTTCCAAGCTTATTCAAGTGTGTTGAAGCATAACTACATTAGGAATAATTAATGATATGATGGATAATTTCATCCTACCATGTTTTCCTAACCTTCTACGTTGGCTTCTTTCCTTTTTCTGCCTCACATTCTGGCAAATTTGTCCTCTTTGTTACACAATACAAGAAGGGAACTGAAAATAAGGGCACTATCCTTGGCTGACTGCCTACAGCTACAAATGATATTATATAATGCATTCCTTCCAACAGAAAAACAGAAGGAACAGTTCCTTTAGGGACCGGCTAATGGCCACAGGTAGGGATTTTGCTGGGTCCGCTCTGTAGGGCAGGTCTACATGTTTACAGCAGACAGATCATGGGAAACCTTCTAAGGGGTGACGCCTAACAAGACGGACTGCTGCAGAAAGGGCTTTGGAGTGCAGAAGTGACATTAAAGGGGCAAAGGTCGGTGGCAGTGTACAAAAGGGTGGGGACACTCTGGGCCTTGAGGTGGTACCTGCGAGGGGTCGAGCGCCCCAGCCACTGAATCCGCGATCCAGAGATGCTCCCGGAGAAGCTGCTGGTAGCTGAGGCAATGCTTCACCGCGGATGGCACATTCCCCATGGCGGGGCCTCGGCTGCTGTCGGCGATAGGTGGGAAACAGCAGGAGAAGGATGCGGGCGGGCACCGCCCAGCGAAACTGCGTCAGCTCGGGAGCGCGCCCTTCCCGCGCGCGGGCGGCTGCAGCAGCCCTGCTCTGCGCACAGCGGCGGCGCCAAGAAGGCTGAGAGCGGGACGTGGCCGTATTCTGGGCTCGGGAAGTACCTGTGCGGATGCCTGCAACGCAGGAACCAGGGGAAGAGGGGAAAGAACTGAGTCAACCGACGTTCAGGTGTGGCGCATTTTCTACGCAGCGCTGAGCTAGCGTGCGGGGCTGATTGCATCTGCACACCACCCACCTAATCCACTTGTCACCTGATTCAGATCCAGTGGCGAGGGCAAAGGGGTTAAATAAAAGGAAGGGAGGCAAGTGTTTTGCGTTGGTGAGTGCTCGTTCCCAGCTGCAGCCTTTCGCGCTCAGTATAGATTTGTCCAGCGTTGAACTCACTTGAGTTTATGCTTGATGACAATAAGCTCTATTTAAAAATATTTGGAGACAGTTTGCAAGGATAAAACACATCTATACAACAGTCTAATAAAGAAGAAAATAGTGAAGGTACAAAATTAGGGGAGATGTCAGTTAGTTGTTAATACAAGGTATGCACTAAAATGGAATTGAGTTGCTTAAGAGACAATCGCACAAAATTATTGAAGCCCTAAAGGCTAAATTCATTCATACTGAAAATTCTAAAAGAAATCTCAAGGCGCTCGAACAGGGGTGATCTTGGTGGTGAGGAGATTGGGAAGATTAGTCCTGAAACAGATGACCTCCCTGCCTCCCCCTCTCTCACAAGCATACTGACATGACATAGACCCACTCTACAAATCCTAAAAGTGGGTTCAAGGGCCTGCAACTGAATAGACCTATTCATCGAGGATAGTATTGTGCAGCCACAAATGCATGGCTAGGGATACCAGTCAGTCCCATGGGTCGCTGCAACAAATATAAATCAGGCGCTGACTAATACACACAGTTGCACAACCAGATGATACAGGGTCCAAAGAATACGTTGTAAAATGTCATACAAACACACTTAGACAGAATCTAACACCCAGAATAAACAAACCGTCATTACTACTTGTCAGGGGGATGAGGCTCCCACTAACAACAGAAATCAGGAATTAAGGTCCAAAAGAGACAAAGAGTGGAAGAGATATCCTGTGGATTTTTTAGTGGAACAGCACTAAAAAGGTCAAGAAGGACTGAGGGGATCTTAGACCTCTCACAGCTTTGACCACAAATCGTAACCTTGGAGAACATGCTGCCAAAGTGAAATCATGCAATTTTTAAATGCCTTTAAAACTCTAAAACACCAAAAATCCCAATTATTATTTATTTGAATGTGACTATTTTATAGGTATATATTCATAGGACTAAATCTCTATAATGTTGTTTTAAGCAGAGATCAACTGTTAATAATTTTTCTACCACAGTTGAAATGCAGCATCAATGTCTACTACCACTTTTCTCCCCCTGTTATATAATTCTATAATAGGGAACATGGTATTTCAAAGAATTTAAAAGGACCCAATTTGAACAACAGTAATTTAGCAACTAATTATATGAGGGGGGACCCCCAAAAACAGGGTTTATTAATAAAAATTGTATACTTATTATTAAATGTTTAAACATTAGTCACCTTCAAATCCGTCTCTATTGGATGCAATACACCTATCAAGACGTTTCTTTCCACTATTCGAAACAGTTTTTAAACTTACTGATTTTGATACCGTTTAGTGCTTCTGCTGTTTTTTGTTTCACCTCTGCCAAATCAACAAAATGTTCTTTGAGGAATTTTTTCATCTAGGGAAACAAACAAAAAAAAGGTTGCTAGGGGTGAGGTCTGGTAAATAGGGAAAGTGGGGCATGAAAAACTGCTGAACACTCAGCACAGTGTAGGAAGCTGTGCTTATAGATGACCCATCCATCATGAAATAGGCAAACATTAAAAGAGTCTTCAATAAAAATTCACTGAAGCTGAACACAGCCTCTCAAAACAATGCCAACTGGTACACTGACAAAATGGCTTCCTAGAACACTCACCTAGGAGGGGAAGCCTGTACAACACTCACCTAGGAGGGGAAGCCTGTACAACAAGGGGCCTGCCCTCCAGAAGATAATTCCATTTTGGGGGGGGTCCCCCTTGTAATAGAGTCAGTCATTCAAACCTTGGAAAAATTCTGACAATTAAAATTGAGTCCAAACTTCAAGAGAATACCTCTGAGATAAGACAAATTATGATCCTCTGCCACTGAGAAAAAGAACACTTAGAAATAAGCTTTACTGCTTAATAGTTTTCTGAATATGATTTTCAAAAAACATACCCCAATTAACTTAGCATTGTAATATTTTTAAATCTTATTAATATGAAAATATTTGTTGATAGTTTTATTTTAATGCATTTTATATGGAAAAAATCTATAAAATAAAAATTTTAAACATAGTTCTTATATATACCATATCATTAGCAATAAGAAAGACCAAATAAGAATGTTTCTTCTTAGAAATAAAAGGAAGTGAAAAATATGTTTTTGCTGTAAAGTACAGTTTGATATTAAATCTAATAACAAATGCTTAAATGCATAAATTTGAGCAGCTTTAAACTATAAGTGTGAAGTTAGTATTACTGCACACCTTCCCTGTTCTTATGGTTACAATGAAAATTCTCATTATGTATCTTCATTATTGCAAATCTAAAAAACTCCAGGGGTGGTAGGTGATGTATTTCTCTCCCCCGCATATGATAGGTTAAGAAACGTGGGCTTCATCAGAACAGCAAAAAAATCATTTGTTAAAAATCACAAATTTGGTTAGTTACACATCCTTTTTTATATTTTTTATTATTTATTCTATTACAATTGTCCCAGTTTTTCCCCTTTTGCCCCACTCCACCCAGCCCACCCCTTTCACCCACAGTCAATCCCCTCTCTGTTGTCCATGTACATGAGTCATTCATACATGTTCTTTGACGAGTCACTTCCCCTTCTTCCCACCCTTTCCCCTGCTCCCTTTGCCCCTTCTACAGCTATCAGTCTGTTCCATGTTTCCATGTCTCTGGTTCTATTTTTCTCATTATTTTGCTCATTAGGTTCCAGTTACAGGTGAGGTCACATGGTTTTTGTCTTTCGCCAACTGACTTATTTCACTTAGCATAATAGTCTCCAGTTCCATCCATGCTGTCGCAAAAGGCAAAACGTCTTTCTTTGTAGTGTGCCATTGTGTAAATGTACCAGCTTTTTAATCCACTCTTTAACTGATGAGCACTGAGTTGTTTCCAACACTTAGCTATTGCAAATAGCACTGCTGTGAACATAGAGGTACGTAAGTTCTTTTGAATTGGTGTTTCAAGATTCTTGGGGTATATTCCCAGCAATGGGATCACTGGGTGATAAGGCAGTTCCATTTTTAATATTTTGAGGAAATTCCATACTGTTTTCCACAGAGACTGAACCAGTCTGCATTCCCACCAGCAGTGCACTAGGGTCCCCTTTTCTCTACAACCTCACCAGCACTTGTTTTTTGTCAATTTATTAATCATAGACATTCTGAAAGGTGTGAGGTGGTATCTCATTGTGGTTTTAATTTGCATCTCTCAGATGGCTAGTGATGCTGAGCATTCTTTCATAGGCCAGAGGGATATTTGTATGTCCTCCTTGGAGAAATGTCTGTTCAAGTCCTTTGCCCATTTTTTAATTGGGTTGTCTGTCTTCCTGGTGTTTAGTGGTGTAAGTATATATTTTAGAGATTAAACCCTTGTCCAATATATCATTGGCAAGTATATTCTCCCATACGGTTTGTTCCTTTTTCATTTTGATGATGGGTTTTTAATCCATGCGGAACTTTTTAATGATGTAGTCCCATTTGTTTACCTTTTGCTTTATTGCCCTTACCCTAGAAGATAGATCAGTAAAACTATTGCTCCATGGGATACCTGAAATTATACTGCTTATGTTTTCCTCTAGGACTTGTATGGTATCACGACTTATATAAGTCCTTTATCCATACTGAGTTTATTCTGGTGTATGGTGGAAGTTGGTGGTCTAGTTTCATTTTTTGTCATGTACCAGTCCAGTTGTCATAAACACCATTTATTGTAGAGACTGTTTTTATACCATTGTATGCTTGTGCCCCCTGTGTTGAATGATAATGGACCATAGAAACATGGGATTATTTCTATACTCTCTATTCTATTCCATTGCTCTATGTGGCTGTTATTATGCCAGTATCAGACTGTCTTGATTACAGTGGACTTGTAACATAATTTAATATCAGGTATTGTGATTCCTCCAACTTTATTCTTCTTTATCAGGATTGCTGAGCTATTTGGGGTCTTTTCTGGTTTCACATAAATTTTTGTTCTACATCTATGAACTATGCCATTAATATTTTAAAAGGAATTGTGTTGAATCATAGATTGCTTTGGGTAGTATGGACATTTTAATGATGGTAATTCTTCCAATCTATGAATGGGGTATATGCCTCCATTTATTTTTATCTTCCTCAATTTCTTTCTTCAGTGTTCTATAGTTTTCCAAGTACAGGTCTTTTACTTCCTTGGTTAAGTTTATTCCTAGGTACTTTATTTTTCTTGTTATTACAATAAATGAGATTTTTTTCTTAGTTTCTCTTTCTGATATTTTACTGCTGGTGTACAAGAATGACATCAATTTCTGAATATTGACTATATGTCCTGCTACTTTACTGAATTCACTTATTAGGTACAGTAGATTTTTGTGAACTACAGTTTTTAGAAACTATAGGGGTTTCTATGTACACTATCATGTCATCTGCAAATAATGACAGTTTTACTTCCTCCTTTCCAATTTGGATGCCTTTTATTGTTTTCTCTTGTCTAATCACTGTGGCTAGAATTTCCAGTACTATGTTGAATAGGAGTGGTGAAAGCTGGCACCCTTGTCTTATTCCTGCTCTTAAGGGAAATGTTTTTAGTTTTTGCCCACTGAGTATGGTGTTGGCAATAGCTTTCTCCTATACGACCTTTAATATGTTGCGG